AGTTGGGAACCACTGTCAGGTGGAAATGATGTTGAGCTGACGGCCACCAACCCATGGAGATGACGTTGTGCATTGTGTTGAGTTGGGAACCACCGTCAGATGGAAATGATGTTGTGTAGAGGACCACCAACCCATGAAGATGACGTTGTGTTGAGTTGGGAACTAACATCAGATGGAATTTGTGTTGAACTGAGGACCGGTGACCCACGGAGGTGATTTTATGATGAGCACCGCTGACCCACGGAGGTAACGCTGTGTTAAGTGCCACAGCACACTGAAGGTGACGTTGTCCTGAGGACCAGCGGCTCTGGAGGTGACACCGTGTCGCTGAGAACCACCAAACCATAGAGATGACATTGAGCTGAGGACCACCAACCCACGGAGGTGAAACTGTTGATTTGAAGATCACCAATCAATGAAGATGACACTGTGTTGAGTTGGGAACCATCATCAGATGGAGACGACGTTGTGTAGAGGACCACCAACCCAGCGGAGGTGACACTGTGTTGATCACCAACCCATGAAGATGACATCATGTTGAGTTGACATTGCAAATTGACAACCCAAAACATGGTGTCCACCTCCCTTTGCCACCATCTTCTGAAACAAAAGGATCATTTCACCCAACAATTACAACAATGCGGTCACACAACGCATCCGTCCATCCGTTACGTCGCACTTCATGCAGTGCTACGGACAGAAATGGGTGTCCCACCACCTGGAGATGTGGCGTCACACCGAGATATGGCAGCTTTTGTCATCATTCTTAACACATTGATCACCAAAATTAAAAGGAGAGGGAAAAAAATCCTTGAGCTACGGCAGGCGTTCCCAACAACCAAAAAAAAAAGGAAACAGTGGGAGACGTTTCAACCATTTGAAGGAATTTTTACAATTTGAGGAAGAACGAACGCGGGAGCTTCTTCCTGCCCAGAGGTAAATGTGAATTGTGAGAATAAGAGGTTTCTCAATTAACAGCTGTTACAAAGCCAACAGTCGTGGAATTAGAATACACCAAGTGCAGAGGAACCCACTGGGACCATTGAGTCCAACACATGGAACATCCCAAGCTGGGAGGAACCCATAAACATCATCAAGTCCAACCCAAGGAACATCTGAAGTTGGAGGAAAACCATGGGGACCATTGAGGCCAACTCACCCCCAAGTTGGAGGGAACCCATCAAGCCCATCAAACTCCAACGACACGACTCCGTATTTCTACCCCAGCAAATAACTCTGAGAAAGATGCCAAAGCACTTAAAGTACTTCCAATTTTCTTTATTATTATTATTATTGTTATTTTTTCTTTTTTTTTGAAAGATTAGTGCTCTTTTTTTTTTTTTAATTTTTTTAAATTTTTTATAATTTTCCATAGGGAACCCCGAACTTCGTGTCACTCCTATTGCAAGCTGCACGCATCCAACACGCCCATGGCAATGAGTCATCCTGCGACACGTCGCTCCTTGGAGGTGTGAGCAGTTTGGTGAGGAAGTCTGAAGATCCTGAGAGTAATCCAATGCTGCTGGTCTGTAACCAAAGGGAAAAAATAGTGCATTTCACTACGGACAAACCGAGTCAGAATCGAGCGATGCCGCTGCCTTGATACCGGAGGTGTATGCTATAAAAGAACCGGTAAAAAAATCTTGTAAATCACACACTCATCTTTAATATCATCGAAAGAAAATAGTTAAGAATGCGAGAACTGTTTACAGATTAAAAAAATATCTTTGAAACCATCTGATCTTAAAAATAGACAATAGTAGTGAGGCTTAAAATACAACCACTCGCATCAAAATGTTCCCAAAGCAGCACCTCGCGAACCCGGGGCCGTTAGGATAACGCCTCGGTCGTTAGGAAGGTGGGGTGGGTTGGAGGAGTCACTTTGTCACAATCCGAGTCCAACACAGCTTTGCCTTTGCTGGAGGATGCTGAGCACTCCTGGTGGGAGCCCTCGGTGAGCTTGGAGGTGGAGCGCGCCATCGAGCCGCCGTGGCTCCCGTTGGTTTGCGAGCAGACGTTGCTGACTTTGGCCGCTTTGTTCTTGTGGTGGTTGTTGTACACCTTGTACTTCATCAGGAGGATGAAGATGAAGACGAGCACCGACGCCACGATGATGCCCCCGATGATGATGATCATGGTGCCCCCGAGGAACTGAGCGTGGAGGGAACGGCACTGCTTGTACTCCTCCTGGGTGGTGAACTGCACGCAGCCGATCACCCTGGTTGCAGTCAGAGATGTCAGCCCGTCGTCGTACACGGCCAGGACGCAGAGGTCGTACTCACGTCCTGCAACCAGATCAGTCAAGAAGAAGGATTTACTAGCAGCTGGGATCATCCTGGAAGAGAGAATACGTACAGTAAACATCCAAGTGGGTCAAACCTTCGGATTCCTCTTCAGTCTACTCGGCGGTAAGCGGCCCGCCGCGCGGGTTGGAGCTGGATGGGCTTTAAGGTCCCCTCCAACCCGATCTTCTGGGTTCTGTGACCTCAGAGGTCCCTCCCAACCCAACCATTGTAGGATCCCAAGGTTCTACGACCCTGAAGGTC